GAGACGGTGCTTGGGCGTGAGCATCCAGAGACGCTGATGAGCATGTATAACCTCGCTCATCTTCTCGCAAAGCTGTATCGCTACGACGAGTCTTTTGCCCTGTACGAAAGAGCATGCGCTGGGTGTCACATTGTCTTTGGTGAGGATCACCCAAACACTCGCGCGTGTCGCCAAAACTATGCCACGGCTAGAATGGACGCAACAAAACACTAGCGTACACCTGTACTCGCCGCAGCACCACTAGATAGCAATATCAATGTACATACAGGGAAAGTGTCAAGGTTAGAACGTAGGCTAGCAAAAATCGGTATCAGAAGCTCAAAGACATCTTCGAAAGAAGAGGCTTTTAAGTAGATTGATATGTTGCAACGTTCTAACAGAGCACAATTACTCTATTTACACGTTTGTCTTACACTATAGTCTTAAAGCCTATGTTGCAACAACAAGTGCGTGCAATGTATAGGAATGCAAGACAATCAGGTCTTCCAGCGCAAGCGAGTTTGTGACGGCGAGTGATCAGGGCGCATGTGCGAAATATTGAAGGATTGAACTGAGGTTATATTGTGTGAAACTATGAAAGGTATTTGTAGGGCTGGTGAAGCACAGCGGTGTGAGTTGTACTACGTGGTACAACCGTGTGGAGATGAGTGGAAATATGAAACTGTGACATGTGGTACAACTAGGGAGACTCCAAACCGTGACAGAGTTTAAGTAGTGCAATTGGAGCGCTGGTGTAGATGTTTGCCGATGGAGGATGCCAAATTGCTGGCGTACCGGATTATAATATGTAGGATAATGGAGTGGGTTCAATGTGATGTTATTGTGTGTGTCTATCTAGGCGATGTGTCTGAAGGAGTACCGGATGAGCGCGGAAGGAGGGCCAAGGTAATACCAAGGAGGGCTGGGATGAGGCTGGTATTGGCAAACATAATATGATCCGTAGGTCTTTGGAGGGGAGGTCGCGCACAGCCACAAGTCTATCAGCCACTCCAAGTAAAATACCCCACGACGATTACGTAGGCTGTGCCGGGGTATTCAGCACTAGCCGAGGTCTGTATCAGCGGTGGCGACCTTGCATAATTGGAGCGTTACAACAGACAGAAGGCTGACTATGGCCTACTAGATGATTAGCAGGTGCTTGAGGTATAGTGCTTAGCAAAACTGGCTTCCCCTTCATAGCAGGATCGACAAATTGGCGCCACAATGCAGGCAGGGATTATAATGTCCCACTTCACATAGCAGGCGTAGCGTCAGCATAATGCTAGAAATATTTTGCAGTAAGATGCAGACACCTCTGGCTGTACGAAAGGGACTCGTTCATCATGATCCTATTCAGACTTCGACTTGAACGGGCCTTGGTAACTGATATAGAATCTCCATGTCCCTTCGGACAGCGACCTTACAAAACGCACCATCTCCACCAATGACCCGTAGTCGCCGCGAACAATCGTCTGATATACACCAGTTGCCTCCTCAGTGAACGTACCCGAAACAAGGCCGTCAGTGCCCCATTCCGCGAAGAAGTCATGAAGAGTTGCGAGCGTCCGATCATCGTTCTGCGTGTCTGAGAGCGCAATTAGAACGCTTTTTGTGTGGGGGTAATAGTCCATGATTCTTAGAATAGTGGCATCCGACAAAGTCCCCCAGCTTCCCCACTCAAGCGCATTCAAGCCACCGAAGACGTTGCAGAGGAACCGCAATATATCTTGGACTGCGGAGTTCCAGCTGTCTGGGCCAATCCATGCACGCGTCGCTAACTGTACTAGTCGATGCATGCCATTATTGACGTTATAGAAGGAGAAGCTTTGGAGCACTTGCAGCGCCTTCCAAACTTCCCACTTCTTCCCAACCTCGACATAATCGAGCATCCAGAGCGCTACTCCATGGCAGTCCAACACGCTCAAGATAGCAAGTAGGTGTGCGGCAAGAGGATAGTTCTCTTTGATTTGCTCGAAAGATAGCTTCCAGGTGAGGAGAAGGGCATTGGGCATATCTGAATCGCGTCGCCAGTCAACAAATTCCTCGTTCAAGAACGCCGCATGTTGGAACTCCACTTCCTTGAAGGTCTCCACGTAATCTCCAGGTGTGACGTTATTTTCCCGCATGAAACTCGCAGCCTGGGTGATTGCTAACGGCAAATACTCTAGCAGGTCAAGTATTGCCTCAAATGGCGGCGTCATCGATAGTCCGTTATCAGCCCCTTCCCATTGGAGCTCGTTCAACAGCATCCGGACTGAATCTTGCTTGGGCATAGCCTCCGCGTTCAATATTCTGCTACTACGTGTCCGGCTTAGGAGCCTTTGCGAGCAGATGCGATGCCTCGATGTATAAAGTATGGCGCTTCCGCGTTTCCGTGGTAGGAAACCGCAGAGCCTACAAGATTTTCCCGCATGAGGAAGACTGTCCATTGAAACAAAGGGACTGAAGAAAACATTTTCGTCGTCGGCGTTGTCAATGACTAAAACCCAGGGGCCAGTGTGCTCGTTCTGCATCCAGTCTCTTACGATGGGTATCACGTCTATACCAAGATCTTTGTTAGCAACTAGGTTGAGCTCTTGAGCAATGTGCTTAAAGCTGTGTTCGACCCGGGCTTGCGTGTTTGCGTATATCCAGAATATCGAAGATCTTTGCTCAGCCTCCTTTCCATCTTGCTTCTCGGCTAGGCGATGGACGTACTCGTTGGCAATTTGAGTCTTGCTGCGTAGCTCAGAACATTGCAATTCCTGACTGAATGGTCCACTTACCCAATTCCACCCAACCCTATAATAGCAGCCTCGACGAACTCATCCTCAGTTGTAGTGAAGATATCTTCCAGCCATTAGACCTCCTTAGCTCGTCCAACGAATTGGTTGTCTCGAGCGAAGGGCAAAAGGGTTATGGGCGACCGGCACTTCTCGCGGGGCCGCGGACCCTTTGGTCGAGGTATCGTGAATGGAACAGCCCGAGGCTGGACAGGCTCGTTAGAGCAAGCTGGGAATATTTAACTCTTACTACTACTTCATTTACCTGCAAGTGACACTCTACGTACCAACGTCCACTCTGGCTTCCGTATTCCATCGCCCGCCAACGGTGTCGCACGCTCTCGCAGCCATTAGCCGTAGAAATAGATTCCCTTTATAAGGATTAAGCCCTAGTAGAGCTGTCACTACAAGACAAAGCAGACCTGCTAGGCTACTATTATAGACAGAAGATACAGGATAGCTATCCTACCCCTCTATCAGCCTGGCACCTCATTTCATACGGTACACTGTGAACTGCACCTCACGTGACTGTGTTAGTCACCTGCTTACTCATCTGGTTGTGTATATAATTGCTCGCTGTAGCTCCCTCAATACAACAACCTTCTGCCTCATTTGTATCTGCCCTGTGCTCCTACATCTAACAGTTATGAGCCTGGTATCCCTGCACTACGCTGCGATACTTAAATAAGATTGTTCACCCTTTTTTTTTAATTAATTGCTATACACGCTGTACACAAAGTACATGTTGTCCCTACAATCCTCCTATTGTTGCATGCCTGCTGTTGTTGCAACCTTTTAAGATTATATCTTGTCTACTAAGGCTATCTCCACGCCTCTAGTACTTTTAATTGTTATACATGTTGTACACGTTGTTACTGCAATCCTCCTATTGCTGCGCGCCTGCTGTTGTCGCATTTACGCAACACTATAAGAACTAGTTCTTACACTTTAAGGTTTTACCTTATTTTCTCTGCTAATTAGCAAGGTAGCTCTTTTGCTACTATAGCTACTACAATCCTACAAGGTTCTGTGGACTAGATACCTTAGTACGCTGCTAAACAATAATACGCTACGATTAAGGGCGTATAGCAGTACTACAATCCTAATTCAGCTACTCTGTCTCTACCACCTGTTGCAGAGCTATCTGATGAGGCCTCAGCAGACAAGTAGAAGATCTAGGAGATTAAGTCTAAACGCTAGGAGTTAATCTAAAAAGTAATTAGTAAGGTTAATCTTAAGATCCTACGCACTGTCGCTACGTCACACGTCCACCTCATTAATAGGGCAGAGCACAACAATCCTCAGAGTCAGCTTACAACGCTCCAAAAGCATTTCAAGGTCACAGACCAGCAGCGCAGGCTAGAGCTTGCTGCCAAGTACAGCGATATTCAGAAGAAGCCAAAGAACCAGAGCACCCAGGCCTGGCTGGACGAATACTCGCAGATCACATCTCAATGTGCTCAGGAGAGCATGCCAGAGATGACAGAGACCCGAGCACAGTGGCGATTCATCCATGCTGTACGGGACTTAGGAGATGAGGCATGGGCTCAAGCCCAGTTCCTCGCCATAGAGCAAGGCGAATTAAATGCCCTTCTACCAACTCCTACCCTGCAGGATTTAATTAGCTAGTATTAATAAACAGTACCTACAGCCTAAAACACAACTCAGCCACTAGGAAGCTTTACATCTCTGTCTATTACAGAGCCTAAGCCAAACAATTACCTAAAGAAGGACTAATTAACAGGTCAATTAACGTGCGTCTGTAGGCTCTACCTATTAGTACTCTAGTGCTTTACTCTTAATCCTAAGGCTAAAGGCAGGTTTAAGGACTTTAAGCCTAGCACAAAGGCCTTATCTTAGCTTGTTGTATCCTTTTAAAACAAGGATACGCTTAAGAAGGTCAAGAAGGCCTACAAGGACGCTGGCATACAATGGACGTTCAACCTAGAGAAAGCTAAGGCTAAGATAGCTAAACGCAAAAACTCCGCATCACGTCATGCTCATCAGGCCGATACTGCTTCAGACTGTAGCTCCGATGGATACGCGTCCAATACAGCCTGTCTCAAGCAGCCCTTGCAGCTGCTACAGTCCAATACTGCACTATCGCTGCACGCTTAATCGCTGCAGCACCAATAGGTCATAGACCCTGGATCAGACGTTCATATCTGCAACAAGGCAGGATCTAATTAGAAGCAGACAAAGCTTCCTTCCTCTTAAGATACTGTACAAGCAGGCTGTAACTTATATTAGATACAAGCCTAGGGAGAGGTAACTCTTAATATAAAAAGGGGCAATTAGACAGCCTTAATCACACTTATAAAAGTAGCATATATCCTAGGATATGTAGCTAATATCTTCAGCCTAAGCTGCTGTAAGAAGATCTACTTTAATTTAATAATAAACACGCTCTTTAGGGAGGATAAGTTACTATCTCTCTTTATAGACCTTAATTAAATTAGAGGTTACTAGTTCTTGAAAGCTTAAGACGCTAAACAGCCTTTTTAGGCTATGGCAGCTGCTTCTACTTAAGCAAAATCACCTCAAGTTGTCACTGCGATAAAAGCTCATTAGCTGTTCAGCTATCCAAGCTATTAGGCTATCAAGCATCTTAAAAACTCCACAACTAGCCTCACATTAGGCACTAACAGAAAAGGAGAATAATAGACAGATTCTTGCATCCCTTGCATTAAGGGCAAGATGAAGGAAGACGTTAGTTAACGTCCTTAAGCTAATAAGGCTTACTACCCTTTCTACCACATTATTGTGGACATTATTCAGCTCTAAAAGCATGGCAAGGCCTGCTACAACAGTGATGTATAGGCACTACATGCAGTATGTAAGTACACAAAACTACATAAGATCTGTACTCTTAAGGATTAACACAAGGCTACTGTTGTTCCTGCAATTACACGTCTTATTAACAAGATTAAGCATGTATATGGCTACTAAGTAGCTATAGTCTTTATAGACGGAGACGTAGGATATAGACGAGCTGAGGCCAGTTTAGGCTCTTCTGCTCAAGAGATCCTCTTATCAGCTGGCATCAAGGTCAAGACAAGGTCTCCTGATACTCCTGCACAGCTAGGGGGTGCTGAGCGAGCTAGTGCTATTATTGTTACCATCGCTAGGGTTCTTTGTATCCATGCTAGTCTACCAAAGATGTTGGCCAACAAGCTAGTCTGCACAGCAGCAAGGCTGCTCAACATCACGCCTACAAGATCTATTAACTGGCGCACACCACATGAGATGGTCACTGGCGTCCGCCCAGACCTCTCTCAACTCCACGCTATTAGAAGCCGTAGATTTGTGCTTAACAAGCACCTAGCTAGAGGAGATAAGCTCAAAGATCGCACTTTTAAGGGATTCCTCCTCAGCTATAACGCCTCAAACATCTATCAAGTATAGCTGCTAGCCACAAATCGCGTCATCCGCGTACGCGACGTACGCTTTGTAGACGAGCTTTACAAGGATAAGCCGTCTGCTCTACCTACAAGGTCTTATATTGTTAAGACTGCACACATTCCTAAGGAGGAATACAATAGTAAGACTATTGTTGTTGCTTAGCCAGTGCAGCAGCAACAGGCTGCAGTTGCTCCAACTCCTGCACAGAAGCAAGTACAGCAACTGCCTTCTCCTACTACTACTGCTTGTAGTACACCTAATTCTCACGACTGTCCTGATCTGGCTGAGCAACAGCTATTTCAGGAGTCCTCTGCTGCTGCACAGCACATAACACCTAGGGGGTAGAACTCTAATAAGAACCCTAATAAGGACTCAGATACAATCAGAGCTGCTACACCTAACCTAGTCACGCATGCGCTATACGTCCTAGATCAATATCAGAACAACACTCCACAACAACAAGATCTAGATCTCTTACAGGACAACATTATTACTAGCAGAAGACGCCGCTAGGCGCACTTTATTAAGGCTAGTCCTTTAACTAAGTACTATGCCTTTGCTGCTATTATTTAGCAATTACGTGAGGCTACTTCTCTTGCCTTAGAACTTAGGATCAAGCCTGATCCTACTTGCCTTTATCAAGATAATCTTCCTCCTCTACCACATTACTAGAAGGAGCTCTAGCACCACCCACACAGGAAGCAGTTTACAGCTGCTGCCTATACTAAGTTTAGTAACTGCTAGAACAAAGGCACCTTCGCAAAACTAGATATCACAGTCTTATACATTAATGACGCTGTACCTTTAATATAGGTTTTTACCTACAAGTTTGATGAGGATAGCTATCTACTCAAATACAAGGCTCGCCTTGTAGTGCGCGGGGACCTGCAGGAGCAGTACGGCGATACCTACGCAGCCACTCTAGCAGCACGGCTTTTCTAAGCGCTTATAGCCCTTGCCTGTGCCTTCAACCTCAAGGCCATGCAATACAATGTGCCAAACGCCTTCCTTAACGCTCTGCTAGATCGTACTCTATATGTAAGAACTCTAGATAGATTTTAGCACAAATACAGTTAAACACTGCAACTTCTACGTGCTCTCTATAGCCTTAAGGAAGCTCCTTGCCTGTAGGCAATCCACTTCCAGGAATCGCTTTAAAAGCTAGGCCTACACCCTGTTCAGGGCTTTCTATGCCTGTAGATAAATAATAGGGTTATTCTCTTCTTCTATATAGACAATATTATTATCCTGTACCACATAGACTATTAGGAGGACTTTTAGCAGCTTGAACAGCAACTAATTAAGCTCTACAACCTGCGCTAGATTAGCAATGTTAGATAGTTCCTTAGTATCCAAGTTAAACGCGTCCTAGCTAGCTGTCAGCTCTACCTTGTTCAGGATGCTTTTATTAATAAGGTCTGCACTAAGTACAACCTTATCTATACTAATAGTAGATACCTATCTACGCCTCTCTCTTCTACTTTAAGGCTATTGCCTTACAATAGCCTTTTAGAGCTATTAAACACAAAGGCCTACTAACGCCTTGTAGGCAATCTTGCGTACATTAAGGTCATAACTTGACCTAATGTAGCACATACTTACTCTGTCCTTGCAAGGTTTCTCACAAACCTAGGACTAATACACCTCTCTAAGATTAAGCACGTGTGGCAGTACCTGTACAGAACTAGGTACCTAGCCATTAGTGCTTAAGGGGGTAAGCCTACACAGACCTACGCTACTAAGATTAATTCAACTACTCCAACCTTCTTTAGTGCTGCTAATGCATTATTTGGAGATGACGTTGAGACTCGTTGATTGTCTGCTAGATACGTGTTCATGCTCTATAGCATGCCAATTAACTAGAAAGCTACTGTACTTCAATCAGTTACTTGATCTACCACTGAGGCTGAGCTGTACGCTCTCTCAGCTGCTGGCGTCGAATCACAATACTGGGATTGCTTCTGCCGCAATATTGGCTTCACGCTGCATACTAAAAAGGCTCTCTAGTGTGACAATGCACAGACTGTACGCCTTGTTTAAGGTGATGCAGATCGCATCCAAACAAAGCTTCGCTATGTTAATATACACTAGATGTGGCTTCGCCAGGAGGTAGACTCTAGAAGAATCGCTGTCAAGTGGAAGCCTACTGCTAAGATGCCTGCTAACAGCTTCACAAAGCTACTTCCTTAACAGAAACACAAGAACTTTATAGGCTAGCTTAGCTTAAAGGACATTTATAACTTAATAGTTAGGGACTCTCCTTGCCCTGTACCCCTTAGTTAGCTAAACTAGCTGCGCAGTATGCGTAAGCATCTCACTCTCTTAGTATTTTTCCTTGTTTTGTAAGGTTTCTATCCAACATAGAATCCTTAGGGGGTGTGTTAGCCTGGCACCTTAGTTTATACAGTACACTGTGAACTGCACCTCACGTGACTGTGTTAGTCACCTGCTTACTCATCTAGTTGTGTATATAATTGCTCGCTGTAGCTCCCTCAATACAACAACCTTCTGCCTCATTTGTATCTGCCCTGTGCTCCTACATCCGACACCCTCCATCAACACCGCCACCTGCAGCACTACTTGCAGGCATTATAGCTAGTAATTAAACAACTCTGACGCAACAAGCGTCCTTAACTACTGTCCTATAGGCAGCATTATTCCTTGCAGGAACCTAAGCTAGATGTGTTAGAACATATAGAGGAGAAGTTATAGACAAGGCTAAGATAATAAGAATACTTACTAAAGGCTTAAAGTCCTATTAAAGTTAACTTCTACCTCTACCTATATTCTAAACTAAGCTTAAGGATTACCCTAACGTGGTTCACAACATCGGGAAAAGTTTTTCGAAATCTGGCCCAGACCGGCCGTTGCTGACAGTCGTGGCATGGTCGTGCAACGGCCGTTCAACGGCCCCAACGGCCCCAATTTGCGCCCAACGGCCCCAATTTCGAGCCAACGTTGCCAACAGCCAAAACGCTGAGTGCCTATATTTAACAAACTTAAAACAACGTTGCAACGTTGTTTTATGCAGCATATACATACAACTAGTTTTATTCCTACAAGCTATTCTAATAGTAGTTATAGTAGAAGACCTACTATTAACAGTTTTATTTAAAGGCATACTGTAAGCCACAGTATATGTTCTAGTTGTTATTAAAGCATACCTTCCTGTCACTCTATTAATGCGTCTGTTTACAATGTATCATGTTCTGTAGTTTTTAGGGCACGTGTTTTACTATTACAAGCTATGTTTAATCTAACTTCTAATTATTATATGTTAGTTTATTTCATACTGTGCCTCACAGTACATCGCGTCTGTAGTACTAGCACTATGCATGCTAATATATCTACTTGCTTAGCAGCACTACAACGCAGACACGCTTTACAACGCATGCAGGAAGTATGTTAGGTTTGCTGTTCATAGCATCAGCGTACAAGCACGCGTGTGATGAAGTAATCAGAGTATCTTTGGACAGTGTCTCTCTACAACCCTTACGTCACTCTATTCATCTTGCTATTAAAATAGACCTGTAATGCTTCTTTATCTAGGTTATTAACAAACTAATAGAGTTCTACCATCCTAGGCTTCTTGCTTGCCTACAGCCCCTTTTAGAAGACGCTTATTCTATACTTATTATTAATAATCTTATCCCCCTCCTATATTGCAATCTACTTATTATTAATCTTACATATCCTTTTAAACTCTTGTAGCTTTATGCGCCTTATAACTTAGACGCTGTGCGTAGATCTGTCCATACACTCTAGGTCAACTCTACAGGTGTTTAGCTGCACTAGAAGGGTACTCTTTTCTTAGTTCCTAGATTGCTTTAGTTGTGCATGCCATCGCTCGCTATTTACCCTATCCTATAAGGTAGAAAGGTCCTGTTCTACAGCGCTTGTCTTATCTGGTGCAACATTCTCTAGCAATAGAGGGGATAACGCTAGAGCACCTGCCTGCGAAGCCGTCTTATAATCTGCTGCTGCAAAGTTGAGGCCATGCGCGTTAGGCGTTAATGCTTCGCCCTTGCTAACCAGGTTATCAAGGTTGTCAGCATATTTATTCTGTGCTATCAGCATATAAGCATCTCTCTCCTTTAGGCGTTGCAAGCACAGCCCTACCTTTGCTATAATCTTCTCTTGTATAATATCCTAGCAGCGCTCTGTTTATGCCTCCTATTAATGTAGTAAAGTAGTAAAGGGGCCTTTATAGTATTAGCCTTATATTATATAGACCTCCTTACGTACTTTAAAGCAGCTAATATGATGCATTTTGTGTTGCACGCTATCTGTCCTTCTATTCCCTTAGGGCCTACTACAGCAGCGTGCTAATAAAATAAATTGTAGGCCTACTTAACTTCTTAAAGTACTGCCCACTGCCTAGGTTAACAGCAAGCACTTCCTGTGTCTTGCCCTAGAGCGTTATAGACAGTATTTGTGCAATTAAACTATATAGGAATTGCTGCTAAGAAGGCTTAGAGGGGTGTTAGTAGGGGCAAAAAAAGAGCAATAAGTTAGTAGTCTTGCCTTAGTTAGGTTGTTAGATATATAGCAGAACTTGTTTATTAGTAAGTTAGACATGTAACTTAAACATGCACTCTGTATTACATTAAGACTATATACTAATTATGCTATTTCTCTTACCTAATGCATAGTCTGCGTCTAAAACTAAATAGGTTCTCCTTAAAGCTAACTAAGTTATACTCTTATCTATAGTATGCTATAAGGACTTTAACTTACAAAGGTAATAATAGCCCTATACAGAACCTTAGTAACGTGTTAGTAGAATACTTTGTTAATATTATTGCAAGCTTGCGTCTAGGAGGTTATAGCAAGATGCACAAACAATGCTTTGTAGGGCAATGTCTATAGATCTATCTAATAATTATTAATTATCTTACTATGTACTATTCTACTAAGTAGTATTGTCTGCGTGACCCTAGCAACTAGGGTGTTGTTAGTCTTAATCCCTATATACTTGCGCGGGATCTTGTAATCACTAGGCTAGTGCCAGCATGTATGTTCACAGGTAGTAATGGCGCTCGAATGCAATGCCATCTACCCCTCTTTGCTTTAAGTCTCTTCTTTATCTTTGTCTAAGATATCCCTAACATGGTTGGCAAGCAAGTTGGTCAGACAAGCGAGTTGGTCACCCTACCAACTTTTGCAACTTTAAAGCAATATATCTCAACAACGCGATAATATTATTGCTAGATATTAATATAGTAGACTACTCTATATTAATAGTATCAGCGTTGCATGTGCGCGAGTTATGCCCAGTCTCTTTACACCTAGTGCAGCGCCTTTAAGCGCGCTGGCTGAGGCCTGATCGCGCTCCTCCTTGACGCTCTTCATGAGCAATCTGCTGGTCAGCCTCATTTTGAGCCAGTATATCCTCTCCAGCTCCCTTTGTAAGTACTCCATGCTTCTGTATACGCCTTTTAGAGCGCCGCCTACGCGCTGAGGCTGCGCTATTAGCCTTCTCAAGACTAGAGATCCGATCGCGCATTAGCTCAGCAGAGAGCATCATCAC